TCGCCATTTCTCAACTCCTCACTAATTTACACCACCTTCCACCCTATCCCCATCTCCACCGCTAACCCCATTTCCACCTACATATCGCCACCCATCCTTATCTCCTCTCTTGATGGCCCTTACCTTATTTCCTCTCCATTCTGCCACCCTCATCTAGCAACTGCAACCCTCCCCTCGATGTCGCCGCTTTAGCCCCTCCAACCCTTTTGACAGAGAGAGATCAAGAAGAGAGTCATGATGGTGCATATGGGAAGGTTGCGGAGGTGTGCAAGAGAGGTGGAAGGTTGGGGAGGAGCACGATGGGGTTGGCACTAGGGTTGAGAGGAAAATTTATTTCATGGTCCACGAACATCACGTGGCCATGTCCTTGACCAATTACAAACTACCATACTCTACTGTTTTTCAACCACCCAACATGGAATCGTGAGTCTCATTCTCTCCACCATTCACAACACACTTAGGGTATCACGTGATTGTGTCGCAAGACTACTAAATAATTTCTCGCTGGGAGTGGGTTTTAGATGTGGTTGTTTCAATTGCTACAGTGGAAGTCGAGGTGGAGACTAAAGTTAGGTTTCAAAAGTTAGGAATGAAAGTAGAATTGTGAATTTAAAGTCTCGTTTGAGAACATGTTTTTTTAGTAATTTTTTTTATTTTTTGGCTAAAATATGGTGTAAAAAAATTATATGTTTGGGATGATTTTTTGATTTTTTACGAAAAGATGTGGAAAAAGTAGAGAGAAAAGGGAATCTTTGACTCTTTGGTATAAGTTGTTAGCTTTTTAATTTTTTTAGTTACTTTAATTTTTTAGCTAAAATCATCACTTGCCAAACGAGGATAAGGGTCTAAAAAAAGAGTTAAAAAATTTAATAATTTGGTAATGTTACAAATTTAGACTTACTATTCAGAAATTATTCAGAAATATTTTGTGATTCAGATTTATTCTAGACATAAATTCCACATTACACAAATTCAATCACAATCACACATCATCATTCGGGATAGATAAGGGTGAGTTCATAAACTTATTCTTAATAATTTAAAAAAAATAGATTTGAAACGGGGTTCGGAATAGTGTTCCAGAGAAGTTTGATGGGTGCTGTTAATAGCACTATTTCAAAACATGACTTCAAGAATCTGTGTCGTAAAAACATAAGTTTAATCATTTTTACAATAAATTAATTAAAATGTTTTATTTGAAACGGGATTGTAGTGTTGAAGTGGTCTGCCTAAAAAATAATGTTTAAAAAAGTCTTGAGAAATGAATTATCAAAGAACATGCCCTTCATTTAGAAACATTCTGGTAACACATACAGAACAAGCTTTGAATACAGAAAGAGGAAAGACTTCAAAAAAAAAAAAAAAAAAGCCACAAAGATATATGGCCTTAAAAGAAAACAACCCATTTTGCTAACCATGTAAGCAAATTTTTTTTTCTTTCTTTAAGACCAAACAGCTTCTTTTTCCTGTGCTTTAACTTCCACAAGATCTTCTTCTTCTTTTTTTATTTTACAGCATCAATTTGTTTGTTGCTATGCTATTTGGCAAACTCTATTATATATATTTTTTAAATGGCCTAAAGAACCCGAGACCAACATGACCATACCGGTTTTGGTGGAGCTGACACCTATAGGTTTATGAATATATATATATATATATATCTATGTTTTTATATATATAGTTTATTTTTTATTTACAGCAGCAACCTCTTTTATATATTTTTTCACATGGGCCTTCTTTTTATGGACTCCTTATAATCCTTGGGCCTTTTTTTTCAAGTGAAAGGTCATGGGTAAGGCCCAAGAGTTTAACTGGGCATTTCTTTCATGGGCTTCTTCCCTCTTGGATTTATTTTATGTAAAGCCAAACCTACCACCACTTCTTTTGCAAGAGTCTTTTATTTATGAGACTCCTCACCTTTCTTCTTCTCTTTTTTTTTTTTTCTCTGTTGTATATTGGAATCTTTGATTGAATGGTTTTAATGCATTTTTTATAGAAACAAGTTTTATTGCATTTCATTTTTTAAAAAACTGTCTATATATATAAGTGGTTGAATTTTGGGAATTATATTTCCTTTGGGGTTAGGCTTGAGATGACTATATTAGCTTGATGTTTTGGTTGGACTTGGTTTGGACAGATACAAAATTTCTTATCAGGTGGTGCAAGCTTTGCCCAAACCCAACTTGTCCCGACCGGTGGCCACCCCTACTAATAGCACCACACTTCTTTCTTTGGAATCCCTTCATATTTTTTTATTACAATTTTATCCCATCATAAAATACATTAATGTGCATTAATTGGGTGTCTTAGCTCAGCATCCGGGGAGATTCGTTGCGTTTTGATGTTGATAAAGAGTGTCTTCAAATAATGCTGATGCCTCCACTTCCATCAGGCTACAATCGGAGGTGGTTTAACTATTTTGGGGAGTCGGGGTGACCAATTACATCTGATCGAGAGGTATCGTCCTCCAAGAACGCAGTTCAACATCTATGAATTAGAGAGACGGTTCAGAGTGGTTTGTTAAGTATCGAATCGACCTTGGTTCAGTTGCTGCTGAATTTCCAGAGATGATTCCAACCAGAACAATTGCAGAGCACTTGAATTTCTACAACTTTGTTATACTTTCGGTTGTCGGAGAGAAACAACAGATGGGGGGGAGTCGTCGTTCATGGTGTTGCACATAAATGGTAAGGTGATGCGGTACAGTTTTGAGGATAAGAGTTTGAAGAAGCTCTGTGATTTTGCTGCTTCAGCTCCAGGTCGACCTGTGAGTTTTGGTGGAAGGCGCATTGGTTTTCCAGTTATTGAGTCTCTTTCTTGCGTTTGTTATTGTTGAGACAAAAAGATGGATTGTAAATTACAATTTTTATTTGTTCAAATAATAATAATACTGTAATGATAAATTACAGTTTATAATTAAATAAATTTTAATTATGGCCAAGTTTGGGAAGACTAAATAAGTGCACTTTTTGATTTTTTTTTGTATTATGTGTAGAAAAAGTAGAGAGGAGATATTGATTGATGTGACCCATAAAAGATAAAAAGATGAAATAAGTGCACTTTTTTAGGTTAGCCAAACTTGGCCTATTTCTATTGGCGGTATTCAAATAGGCCATGTGACATAGCTTGATATTTTTACGACTCTATATTAATAGTTAGTCTATAGAATTATAATCTTTGCTCTTTTGATATGGACATATATATCATGTATTGGTGAGAATAAAAATTATTTGTATTGACCAATTCTTGACATGTATCGGTTCATATTCAATTATTCTCCATGGATACAATTAGTTCACAATCGATAGGATTCGTTTAATTGAAATTACTCTTTTTTTTTTGGTTTACTAATTTAAAAATCAAGATTATTTCATTTTTATATTTATATTTATACTTCTACTTTGTCACGATTTTCAATGACCTCCCATACCACTATTTTCACGCGTACCCTCATACTATGTGAATTCTTTTCAATTTTATCTATGTCGTTTATTTCCGTCAAGAAAGTGGACAGAATGGGTGACGTGGCCTCCTATACTTTCACATGGAGGGAAAATTAAGGCTTTCTCCCCAAAACCTAACCTTCCCTTGTATTCCCTTTAACCTACAAAAATAGAGACCATTGCCAAAAAAAAAAAAAAAAAAAAAAAAAGGCGCATCAATGAAATTAGTGGGAGAGAAGTAATGAGGAACAATCGAAGCTCAAGAAATCAAGGGAGATGGAACGTAAGTGGTGTAGACGAGATGTTTTGCACTTTTTGTGGAAGAAGAAGGCTGATACACACAGCATGGACCGACACAAATCCTAGGAGGAGATTTCCTAGTTGCCCTAACAATGGTTGCAATCACTTTACCTGGGTAGACCTACCCATGTGCGATTGGGCAGTGCAAATCATTCCTGGTCTGTTGAAAAAGTTGAATAAAATGGAAGCGCAATTGAAGAGAAGGACTAGAAGAGAGAAGAAACTACGGATTTGTTTGGTTTTGTCATGGTTGGCTGTAGGAATATGGTTTATAATGTAAAGTTACAAGTTGTGTGGTAGTGTAAGAATGAATGGAGTATATATCTTGTTTATGAATCATATGCAATGGATGAACTGTTGTTAATGGAAAAATATGATTTTAAGATGAAAATTGTGTTTTGTGACCTCTTAATGTTGTCTCTATTATTTTTTGTTTGGTGACTCTGACATAGACAAAGGAAACACAGAAGTTGGGACACAATTTGTGACCATAATTGTCACTCCAAATTCAAATTGGGCAAAACAATATAGTAAAGGCACCAAATTTACATTCTTCATTTCGCTGTGTGTCCATTCCTAGACTAAAAATTGAAAAGAACAAGCACCAAAACACACACACATAGCAATCCATCACCAATGAACTCTTGGAAGTTGGGAAAGGATTGTGAATCACACACACAATTTGTCACCCTAAAATCAAATTGGTCAAAACAGTACAACCGAAAAATTGACATTATTGTTTTTATTGTTGTGTCCATCCCTAAACTAAAAAAAGAAAGAAAAAAAAAACCATTACCAAAACACACACACATAACTGTCCATCACCAATGAACATCAAGACTTGTCACAGCAGCAATAAAGGCACTAAATTATCATTCAAACTTTGATCAGTTTACACACTTGTCATTCATGTTGTGCAAAACATATACTAAGAAAGGGACAATCAATACAAAAACCAGGCTTCAAATGTACAAAACCCCCCCTGCCACTATGAAGGTTACGGAAGGTTACGGAATATGAACAAAAGTAGCAAAAACATTCATATCCATTCTTTTAATTAATTTTAAATCACATCATCTCTCACAATTTTTTTACACGTTTTATCAAAAAAAGTCAAAAGTCAAAAAACCAACTTTTAATCATTTTCTCAAAGTGTTCCCACATTTCTGTGAGAAATCTCTTTCTGTCCATAAGGAGGCAACAAACAGAATCCAGGAGTAAGGACCACAACAAAGATGCTTGGACCCAGGGAAAACATAAAAACAAGACGAGAAAGTAACCCTTGAGTGTAAAAGCCAATACAGCACATGTTATTATCATGGACCCATATAATTTTAAGACAATACACCGAAAACCAACAGTGATAAAAAAAAAGGAGGTTAGTCAAGCAAATATCTCCATTGAATGCTCTCCAGACACGTAGTTGTTCCTTGAGAAATATGGACATTGGATCAGGTAGCTACAACAACTCAGAAATAAATAAATAAAAATAGATTAATCTAGTTGTTAAAATTTGGCTCTGGCCAGAAATTTGTACAGTTGTTTTGCCGGTTTTGGATATATGCTTATGTTCTTCACCCTCAAATGAAAACCTGGGAGTCAAATTAAAGAAAAGAAAATCCATCAGAAAAAGCATAACAAATGCAAAGAAAACTCGCTAACACCACGAAACAATTATTTATCTTCTTCCAGAAAACCAGTAAAAAGGATCCCCAAAAAAATTGTCATTACCAAAAAATTATACGGTTAATCACACCAATACCTCCTCCGCTATTAAAGAATACCATCAGTTTACCTCCTTTATACCATGTCAACATTGACATGTAGTATCACCAACCAATAATAAAACTACATATGTGATGGTGAACCCCACTATTCAAATGTAACAACCCATTCCAACATAAATTTGTAACTACTGCATAGCGGGACTGATCATACTTACATGGTAATTTATACAGTCGGTGATGGCATGCTATCACCATTATAGTGAATTTTTTTCTTCCATAAGAGGAATTTACACAGTTTTATAGTTGAGGGGTTAGACTACCGGTTCATAGATGGGAGGAATAAACTGATATTCGTTCAGTTGAGGGAGTCTTAGTGTAGCTAACCCTATTTTATAACCCGAAACAAATTAAGGTCAAATCATCATAAGATGGATCAGCCAAAGAAATCTCCACAACTTAAGTGAAAATTTCTTGAATTGATGCAAACTGGTAGACATACACAAAAGTCACCCGGACTTGACTGAAAAGCAAAAGCAACATTACCTGAATGTGTGAAAAAGCCTGAACAAGTTCACTCAATCCAACATTGAATCAGCACAGTAACTAACTGTATATTGTTCCTAAGAGACAATGGTAGCCTGGTATTCCAGAACCAAATGAGAAAGCCACACTTCCAAGGAAAAAGAATCAGAGAAATAGTTCTTAAAAGGGGTCCAACATACCATGCAACCACCAACTGCTATTGGAACATCTTAGAATATGCTTTTCTCTCCAGATCTCGTCTATCTGAAATCTGTCCCAATTCCAACAATTCAAACCCCAGTAGCTGATAAGCATTTAATGCCATAAAAAATGTTTCAGATTTTATGCAATCATACTAACCTTCTTCTTTGCAGCAGCCAGCTCCTTTTTTATTCCAACTGAAAGATGCCAGAAACCAAGTCAGTTATCACGTTTCAAACCTCAATTCTATGAAAATTACAAACTCCAGGCTATAAAGTATCTAGTTTAGTACTTGAAAACTGTCATTCAAATTTCAAAATGACTTTCAGTAAGACCTCAGCCATCTCCCAAAATAGATTAATGTTATGGTAGAATACAAAAAACCCATAAAAAATAAAACTTGTAGCCCACAGAGAAGGTAATTATTGCCAAGTTAATTTTTTTTTCTTTTGCTATTTAGGATTTCATCAGAGTGAAATTTATAATGTGCTGAAAGTTTTGACAATGCATTATATTTATAAAAAGTTCAAGGTTAGAAACTGTCACAAACCATCATTTGGCTCCAATTCCAATGCCTTCTTGAAACTTTCGACAGCAGCATCTATATCATTAAGTGCCATGTATGCCTGACAGTTCAATACAACGACAATCATAAGGACTACAAATTAATCAATAGGACAATATGCAATCCACAATGCATACAAAGCCAATTGGGAGTTGGCCCTTAGTAGCAGGAATCGTTCAACTTGCTCACGATTCTTCCTCAAAAGCGCGATTCTGCGCTTCTGACTCAGATTCGTAGAAGAATTGCGAGTTTGATGCTAGAGAAACGCGAATCTGGTCGCGGATCTGTCTTCTTCTCTTCCTCTCGATCTGTTTTTCCCTCTTCTCTCGATCTCATGACTCGTCTTCTCTAGATCGATCGATCTCGTCTCCTCTCTCCGTCGATCGATCTCATCTCATCTCTCGATCTACTTTTCTTCTCTCTCGATCGCCTCCTCCTCTTCTCTCTCTCTCCTCTCTCGCCTTTGTTTGAGTCTCTCTTCTCTCTTTCTTTTGTTTTTTTTTTATTTTTTATTTATTTATTTATTTTTTATTCTGCTGAGTCTCTCTTCTCTCTTTCTTGATTATAATATAAATATTAAATGTATTTATAATTATTCTAATATATTTTCTATTTATTTATTTTACCTTTATAAATATAAATAAATGTAATGGGTTATATATATATTAAGTTAATGTTAATTTTTATATCCACAAAATAAATAGATTTTAATTCTAAGTAAAATCTAACAACACAAAATAAAATATAATTTATAACAAGTTATGATAGCTATAATATATTTCAAATATTAATTGGAGAAAAAAAAATTATATCTCACAATATATTTATATATATTTTTTGAAAAAATATATATATAAATTAAAAATATTATCAATAAAAATAATATATAAGATAAAAAATAAAAAAATATATTTAAATAAAACATAAATGTTGTTTTATTAAATAAAATATAATAAATTTTATTCAAAGATAATGACTAGTGTTCTAAAAAATATCACTTCACTACTTTTATTTGTTATTCATTTTTAAAAATATTTTTTATGTTATATTTAATTAATTAAATATTACATAAAAATAAAATTTTTCTAACATATATATGTTAATTAAATTATTTTTTTTAAATGTTTATATAGATAAATTAAAAATATTTCAATAAAAATAATATATAAGCGCTCCCAAATTACGACTCCTTTACATGGCCACGCTTCCCCGCTCCCGCTCCGTGCAACTAAGGTTTTGAATTGTGTTTTCTTTGTTTTTTGTGGGATTTGATGTTTTGAAATGGATACATATTGACATATGTAAAAATGTGTATTTGAAATGGTTTTTTTTTTTTTTTTTCTGTTTTATGTGGGTTTGCGCAATCCTCCCTAGCCACCGCCACCGCAACCAACCTCAACTAGGAGAAGGAGGAGGAGGGTGAATGGGTTTGCGACAATGATGTTGTGGGGATCAAAGAGTGGCGCTGAAAAGTGAGGGTCGCGGTGGTCGTGGTGGTGTGAGTTGCCAGAGTATGCCGGAGAGGGTGAGTTTGGATAGGAGATGATGGGTTTGCATCTTTTTTTTTTTAAATATCCCACATGCAAGTACAATTCATGGAGGTATGAGTTTTGAATGCATGAACTTGATGTGTTGGAGATAGATTTGGTATAATTTGAGTATGCATGTGATTGATTCATAGGATTTGAGCTTCATAATGTTGTAATTTCGCATTTGTATCATGTTAGAGGATGTGTATGTGAAGTATGAGTCATAATATGCAAGTTACATTAGTCTGAATGCAAGTTTGAGCCCAAACAACTTGTTGGAAAATCCAGAATTCGGCATGTCTGCTCGAGCGGGGTAACGGCTGCTCAAGCGTGAAATGCTAGTTCCTAGAAGTTTTGCAGACATTGATGTCCACTCGAGCGGGGAGATTTACGCTCGAGCACCAAGCCACATAGTTTGACTTTTAGCTCGAGCGTCTAAAATCATGCTCGAGCGTAAAAATGAGGCAACCAGTACTTTTGCAGACCAAAGGGGTCCGCTTGAGCGGCAGAAGCCACGCTCGAGCGAGGAGCCCTGTTTCAGAAATTTTGTAAAGATGTTTTGTGTTTTATTTTCCGTTCTCTTTCATTTCTAAGTACTCCTAGGCATACATTAAGCGTTGTAAATGAGTTAAAAGAATAAGAAAGAAGCCTAGGAGGGATGTATGAATTAAGAACGGATTGAATCGTTTGTGACCCATTATGTTCATGAAATGTGTAGGGTCAAGTACGAGAGCAAATCCACCGGCAGATCACTGTGAGTAATATCTTAGTAAAGATATCTCGAAGTATGTTATTTGTCCTATTGCTTATTCCTTTATAAGTCTTATAAGCTTGTTAATTTGAATTGTGGGCAAATATTTGTTTTACTATATGATTGGGCCAAAGGCCGTTGGATACGAATGATTGGGCCAAAGGCTGTCGGACATGAATGATTGGGCCAAAGGCCGTTTGACATGAATGATTGGGCCAAAGGCCGTCAAATATAAACGATTGGACCAAAGGCCGTTGGACATGAATGAATGGGCCAAAGGCCGTCGGACATGAGTGAATTGGGCCCGAGGCCGTTTGATACATCTAGAACTTTTGTCGTTTGATACATTAGATAGAAACATGAATTGGGCCCAAGGCTGTTTGATTTCAAAGTGATTGGGCCAAAGGCCATTTGAAATGAATGATTGGGCCAAAGGCCGTCGAATATAAACGATTGGACCAAAGGCCGTTGGACATGAATGAATGGGCCAAAGGCCGTCGGACATGAGTGAATTGGGCCCGAGGCCGTTTGATACATCTAGAACTTTTGTCATTTGATACATTAGATAGAAACATGAATTGGGCCCAAGGCCGTTTGATTTCAAAGTTTGTTCATGTATCTTCTCTACTTGATATTATTCACTAGGCTTTTGCTCACTCTCATTCATGTGTCTATAGGTGAGCCAAGAGATGTACAAACCCAGCCTCGGTGAAGTTATGTGAGAAGAGTCAATTTTTGTGGAGTCAGCCCAAACGTCTCATGTACGAGACTTGTTTTCGCCCCTTTTGTTCATTGTTGTACTTTTGCTAATGTTGGCGAAAACCTTGGATCATCTTTGTACATAAGCTTTTTGGTTTGGCTGATTATGACTTGAATGATCCTGTTGTGTAAAGTTCATATGTTAACTTTCCTTTTGGTGTGGGTTATTAACGAACACATATGTGAAATGTTATGATGTGCATGTAAGCACAGTTCTACGGACAAAGTTTTAAATTTGCTTTCATTTTGGCCCCTTAACTCTGATGATATACGTTTATTTGGTTTGAGGCCGTAGGTGATCTCATGATTACTGGCCGGTTATGACCTTAATCCATAGGGGCGAGTTCGGATCATGACACCTAAACACTTTTTCACCCTTCACAAAAGAAGCATAGCAAACCCAAGGACAACTGGGTTTGTACTTTGCCCTATGTAGACACCCCATTTTTGACGGCTTGCAAGGCTCGAGCGCTTTGCCCGGTACACTCAATGATGAAAGTGGTGTTGTGCATAGTTCGAGGTCTCAACGAAGGGGCTATCTTTAAGTTTTGAAACTAATCCCAACCCTTCTATATTCCTATTATTTATACCCCAGAAACCCATTTTTACACATTGTACCACCCTGTGCTGAGTCTGAGGTAGGGAAATAGGGGATCCTTTTGAGGCCCGGTCGTGCCTCGTTGAGGGCCGGCCGTGGCTATTGATGGCCGGCCGTGCCTTAGTTGCAAGAAACACTGTTCTGGGCAGGAGCCCACCAACTGTCCATTTTTGAAGATATTTATGACCCCTCTTGCTCAAATTCTATAAAAATGAAGTTGTATCTCTGTTTTGAGGGTTGAAGAATTTCTAAAACCCTTATACACCTTCTTGAGAGCTCCTTCTTCTTGTGCAAGCAAACTTTGAGCAAACTTACCAACTTGAACCTATATCCATACACCATATATACGTGCACACCTTAGCCTAGGAACCTGGGTTGAGCCTTGAGCATCACAATTCAAGCTTGAGAGTGTGTTTGGGCTTAGTTTGATTCACAAACAAAAGCTCACTTCCTTGGGAGTGTGTTTTGTAGAAAATAGAGGGCATTGGCTAAAAGTGAAACAGAGCAAGCCTAGGCAGAGAGAGCTGCTCTTGGACATTGTGCATATAACCCTTGTTCATCCTTGTTTACATCATTATTGTCAATTAATGCTCCGTGTATTGTTGTAATTAATTAATTTATTGTTGTTGTTATAATTAGTCTTGTTAATTATTAGTGTTGTAATTATTATTATTGTTTACTTGTAATTGTTATTAGCTAATTAGTTTAAATAGTTAGTTTACTTATTATGGTTATCCTTATTGCAATAAAGTAGTTAGCTAGTTAATTCTTCGCTTATTTATTCTTTTAGTTTTGTAATAATTAGTTTAATTTGGATTTTCGGACTTTGATTTGCACTCTCTTGCACAAGGGCAATTATGTAATAACTTGTATGTCTTTCAACCCCATGTCTTTCTCCCTTTTACTTACTCGTTTACGATGGTTAGTATAGGACATCATTTTTTAAATTAGCATTCTTATGCTTTGCATCCATTGCCTTGCATGCATCCAAGGTTCGGCTCATCATACTAACCCAATATCAATGTTCAAATTCATTGCTTGAATACGTGCTTTATCACATGTCTTGAATGGAATCATATGCCATGCTCATAGACGAGCCTATAAATTACATAATGTGTGTGTTGCATTTACTCATATTGCATTAGTTAGAAGCATGTAGATTTTCTAATTATTATGCTTTGTTTTGGCTCGGAGTACTCAGTGAGCAATTTTGAGCTTTAGCATCTTGCATAGAATGTTTATGTTGCCATGCCAAGCATATTTCCATGAGGCTAATTGCTTAAATGGTATACCTGTTTGGATACTTGTGGATGGAGGCTAATTGCCAAAATTGGGACAAATTAATTAAATGTATAAACTCACCTTATGTGCTTCAGAACACGAAAACACTTCAAACAATTTCTCAGTCTCTAGAATCCATGCTTCGGCCTTTAATGGTTCAAGGCCTCCTTGGAATTTTGGTGCTTTCATTTTGCTAAACTTCTGTGTCAAAGCAATTATATCATCGTTAACATTCTGTTCGGGTTGTACTGGAGGAGGTGGGGGCTGTTGGTTCTGTTGTTGTCTTAAAGCTTCGGTCAACAGTTTAGCTGTTCTTTCTAAGCTCGCCATTTTGGCCTCAGATGATTCAGATTCATCAGCAGTTCTTGCATTTCCCATTTCACTATATGCAACACAGTGATAATAAACATAGGAATTGCTTACTTAAAACACATTAGCACATATATTCACGTCATGGCCACACACACTTTCTCATGCTCATGCAATGCC